ATTCACAGATGTGTACTAGAATGCTTTTTGCTTATTTTCAACCATTTTTGGGTGAAATTCCAACAGTTTCTCTTTTTGTCTTCCATCCATCATATTAATTGGGACCATTAATATAAGCGAATTCTACTCGTATATAATTGCAGGACCAAGGACTGAGCCTATGAATACAGCAGTGACATGGTATATTTGCAGCACCAGGGGTGGATACAGGGGGGGTGGATTGGGTGGATTTCCACCCCCCCCCCCCCTTTTTAAAGTAAAAGTGAATATTTTTAGGAAAACAGAAGAATATGATTGCATCTAATTACAAAACATGTCAAGAGTCAAAATTTAGCTGCATTCACAAGTATTCATTACACTGTGGGCATTGGAAATTATTTGGATACACATTACATTATACTAGGGGTTAGTCTCCTGTTGACAAGCATCTTATCTAGGGGATTAGTGATACTTGTGGGGATACGCCCCAACTCTTGGGGGGCAACTAGGTGACTCAAAATCTCTTAAATTATAAATAACAATGAAAAAGATGCCATCTTGGTTGATCAAACAAGATAAGCTTATTAGGAGTGCTTTATACAAGCATCTAACATGGCTATGACGTAACATGCTCCCCAAGAATATGTTCTCTTTACTGTACCAAAATTAAGCTGCAATAAAAACTAACAGAAATCTAACGATAATTAATATTTTACAGTATAATTCTAGAATTCAACAACACCCTTTAAAGGATTTGGTGGTATTAAAACCGTTCTCTGGTTTGAAAGTATCTGCGTATAATATACCTGTACTCGAACAGATGATAATTTTTTTATTTCATTGGAGATTTCCTTGATTTTAGTCACAAAGATTTAACATTATACTCTTAAATTTAAGACTACTTAAAARGATCACCAAAGTTAATTGCAAAACGATAATTTTTTTGCAAAAAATACGGGTTATTATTACATATAAATAGCGAAAATACGTACCCAAAAATATTATTTTCATATAAACAACATCGAATGCGTTCATGTTCACTATCCAATATTCTTTCCACACCAATTTAAAATCATTCTGTATTAAGAATTCGAATAATATATAACTCTTCGATGAATTGTGCACTCACCAGTGTTAAAGCAGCCTTCCTTGCAGCAAATTTTCCTTGTCTACTGACAGCCTTCACTGTAGCTCCTATGACTGTCCTCGCCGCCATTTTGAATCCAGTAATTTGTTACGTAACAAGTGACATCATAAATATAATTCATCACAGGTAGCCCAAGCATTGGAACATTAAATGGAAATGATATAAATGGATGAAAGAATATTGAAATAATGGCCTTGGAAAAAATTTTAATATGTGAATGACTTTTAAATTTAGATCTAAATAGATTTTTCAAAAAAAATTCCTTCATATTGCAAAAATGGAAGGGTGGAGAGAGAGGCTAAACCTTGCTTTGATAAGCAATAGGCAACGGGAATAAACTCAATTTTAAAAAATCTTATCATAAAAAAAGACTTTTTGTGAAGATCCTATCTAGAAGTAGAGACAATATATAGAAAAAATTGAAGAATCTAAACATTCACGAAAGATAACATGGGTTCCCTGTAGATTTATGAAAGTGGCGCTTGGGCTTCCTGTGCAAAAAATGGCGGATGTCTTACGGTTTGGACTTGGTGCAAGATGAACGTCTTTTCTGGAAGACAGCTCTGCAAAAGGAGTGGGGTTATAGTATACCCAGAGGAAGTGGTCCAGAGCAAAGTCGTAGCTCTATATTTTTCTGCCAGCTGGTGTCCCCCCTGTCAGGAATTCACTCCAATTCTAAAAGATTTCTACGAAGAGTTACAAGCGAATGATATGCCTTTTGAAGTCATTTTCATATCTTCTGATAAATCAGCTGAGGATATGGACAGGTATATGAAGGAGAGTCATGGCGACTGGCTGGCCTTATCTTTTGGGAACGAGATGATAAAGGAGTTAAAAACAAGATATCATATCACTTTGATTCCAAAACTAGTTGTCATTGATGATGATGGTGAAGTTGTTACTTTGATGGGACGCAGGGAAGTGACTGAAAATGGACCCAAGTGTTTCAAACAATGGGCTCATGCAGTTGGAGTTGCAAGAGGGGAAATAGCTACTACTGTGACGAGAGGAACAGTCAGTGAAGGCGACTGAATATTCAACATTTGCATGAGTGAGAGATGGATAAAAAAAATTGGGAAACGTCTTGAAAAATTAAGAACAACAAAAATACCACCGTGTTCCTGCTACTTAAGACAGGGAGTCCTTGAAGCGAATTGGAAARATTTTCMSCYCMCCCCCCCCCCCCCCC